TTTTTTTTTTTTATTGTCTATTAAAAATTCTATTATTATCGTTTTATTATTTTGTTATATTGTGATGTTTTCTGTTCTGATCTGTATTCTTGTAAGTTTATTATTAGTATTTTGTTTACTTATATTATGTATTTTTATTTTTTTATATTCTTTGTTTTCTGTGCGTGTAATTGCCAAATAAATGTTTTTTCTTTCTTTCTTCTTTCTTTCTAATTCTCTAGTCTTAAAAGATTTTTAGAACTTTACGTATTTAATTCGTATCAAGAGTGTCTAAATCAGAAGATTTGCTGTTAATCGAAACTGTAAGTACCTTCCTACTTATTAAACATTAAACTCTCACCAGCACCGTAATTTGTTAATCCTAGTGGATTATGAAGTTACACAATTCAGAATTTAAATGATAATAATATTAAATTTTACATTCTATCTGTTACCAATTTTCTTTTCATTAAGACCAGCGTCGTAGAAACTTTTTTCCTTTGAAATTGAAACTCCGTCCCAAAAGCGCTTCTCATTGTAACAAATTCTCCAAAATCGAACACAAAACCTTCACATAATTAATTAAAACTTCAAAACGTTCGTTCATTACGTTCGTTCATTCCGTTCGTTCATTATCTTTTTGAAATCAAATGATTCGGTAAGCGACACTTTTTGAATGTCAATGCTATCATTAAAATATTGCTGGGACATCAAAGTGAGTGAACGAATAAATAGGAGCGGAGAGGAGTGCTGAGGAAATTGGTTTCGTTCTATATTTATTTATTTACTAAGTAGTGTTCTGCTTCCGACTTCGTTCATTTTTTTAGTCAGTGGTCTCAGCTATTACTATACGTGTCATATTAGGAGAATAGACGTATTTTTACAACAAATAATTTAGTATGTAGGTAAGGTGATAAAAAGAATCAGTAAGCAGAGTGCACAATACATATTAATTGTAACACCCACTTATTATCAGTTATGAGTATCATGTATGCGGCACAATTTTAGATTTGGTGCTATGAGAAATTCTGATCCGGAAATCGAACGTGAGACCAGTGGCTCAGTGGTCACATGAATAATGAGGTAGTTTACTTATCATAAACGGCCGTACCGTGTATCTTCATCTAATAGTGTTTACATATATAAGGATACAAAAAAAGAAATCACAAAAAAATGAACTAGTCCTTACATAAGTACATTATAAACCAAATATCTTGTTTACGACAGCAACAATGAAGCCATGCCTATAAGACAGCACTTACACCCAATAAATGATTCAGGAGGTCCCAATTTACAGACGCTGGTGAAAGGAGGGCCCCTAATATTGTCGCAGGTTATGGATTACATTGTATTGATACTGCAAACGAATGGGGCACGCCTTTTAACGGTTTTTCTTTATTAGGAGTTTGGTGATAACCGTGGTTTGGTGTTGTTGGGATTACTCGATATGTGTTAGAAATTATTAATGGTCTAGTTCCATAGATCTACATACATGGCTCGGGAATTGAACTCGGGACACTTTGCATAGGTGTTGCACTTGTTATCTCTCAACTAATGGTATTATGATTAGTAGTGGTCATTGACATAAAAAGGTAACAGAGTATAGATATATTAAGGGAATGCAAATCTCGTGAGATTGGGGCTCAAGCGAGACCTCACGGTATTGTTGGTAATAATCCTTCTATTTGAATAGATCTCATTGTTTTTATTCAAATTAAAAATTATAAAATGAATTAGGAAAAAACTAATAAGATTGTAAGATAAATTTTTATTTATACAAAAAAAATCTGTCCAATATAACATAAACTTATTTATAAGAACGCACTTCTGCATAGAACTAATATGTATGTAGCTTCGTTTACAGTACTGTCATCATTCGTCAATACGAAACGTGCGTGTCAATAATTAATTCGGATTAATGAATCAGGTTGCGGTAGCCATTACCATAGCATGGTCGAGTGTGAGGGCACCAGCATTTTGGAACACAGACTGTCAACAGTCGGTCATCGCAAATTAAATATGGCTGCCTGTGGCCGGCATCAGGTGTTTATTCACACACATTGAGAGCAATAACGCATGTACTTTATTGAGCTCAAATAAATTTTTACTTAGATTAAGTTCTTTCTTTTCTTTTAATAGCAATACTTTTCAATAGCATGCTATTTGAATGCTATTTTGGCAATAGCATTTTATTGTTATAATATGTATATAGATCAAGGAGTGAGTTCTTTTGTTTTTGTTTTTTTTTATGGGATAAACTAGTAAACGAGCAGACAGATCACCTGATGGTAAGCAATTGGCGTCGCCCATGGACACGGACACCAGAGGCGTTACAAGTGCGTTACCGGCCTCTTGGGATCGGGAAAGGGGAGGAGGGGTAATTGGGCCTCCGGTAACCTTATTCACACGACGAAATACAACACAACGTTGTTTCACGTCGGTCTTCTGTGAGGTCGTGGTATCACTCCGGTCAAGCCGGATAATTGGATTTTGGTTTAATTGGATTTCTATTATCTTAATTTCTCCTGAAACATTCCTTGGTTTAGTTTTAGAAACATCTATCATTCTTGTTCACATAATTCGTTTGACTTTTCCGCTAAGTTAACAAAAGGACTCTTGAATCAAAGTCCTAACAAGCAGAGACACAGTTAAACAAATCCAATATAATATTCAACAAAAACATGAAGAGCTGCATAACAAAGTATTTCGTTTCGTCGTCGAAGTTTAAATTATTTCTCAAACAAATTCAGTAAGGAAACTCAGTGTGTAGTCGACCGGAGAAAAAATCTCGTGAGCCAAGTTAGCACATTGCATTATTCACTTTTCACTTGGCCTTGGGAGACATACCTATGACTAATAAGACAAACTTTTCCTTCGAAACTGGTTTAATACTGGAATATTTACTTTTTAGTTTAAGACCTTTTTAAGGGTGTTTCGTTTAGTTTTAGTCGTTGATTAATTTAAGCGAGGGTTCCTATTTCATTGTATTGATTGTTACGTTAATATATGTTGGTAATTGCTATGCTACTAGTTGGTAATCTGAGCAGACATGTGGCCAGCCTAAATTATATATTATCTGTAAGGTCACAATTTCAGATGGTATCCTAATTGAAAGACGCCATTGTTTCTTGACACAACTGGTTTTTTAGTCTGCTAAGTACGATCTTAGCTGACCCTTCCAGGTAAATAATTGAAAACCTTGTTTATTTTTTCCTCCACTAGAACTATATTAATTAACAAAGGAAACAGATTTCCTTACCAAATAGGGCTACCCCAAAATAAATTTCGGGTGCTTATATAGATATGACGTTACCTATTTACATCACCAGCGCCATCCACTCGTCACAAATACTTGAATGGCTCAAATAACAACTGATTGCCTTGAGGGGCATCCCTGTTGTCGCTTCAATAATTCCGGGACTTGACCCCTGAGGGTCCAAGATGAGCATCTTAACACTCGAGTGATTCAAATGTACCTTGTCAGGCAATTATTGTGTCAATATTTCTCATAACATTTTAAATAAGGTTGATATTATTCTGCACGTGTTTCGGTTTAGGGAAAAAAATTGAAAAATATTTTTATTGGATTATGACAGCCTTAGAATCCAATTTTCTCAGGAGTTTAAAGGTATACTTATAGGAGTTTGTTTTGTATTACTATAGTATACCATTGGGGTATGTTCTATACAATGGCAATTGGTACTAAAATATTGATTTTAACTTATCAGCTGAACTTATGACTTGGTGCGGTGGCTGGACAACCGGCTGCCGTGTCGCGGGTTCGATTCCCGCACGGAACAACACTTTGTGTGATCCACAAATTGTTGTTTCGGGTTTGGGTGTCATTGTGTATGTGAACTTGTATGTTTGTAAACACACCCACGACACAGGAGAAAATCTTAATATATAGGGGCAACGTTTAAAAAAAAAAATTCTAATTACCTCTATATGTACATTTTGACTTAATACCTTGGGTATTCTCTGCTAGTCGACCTTTAGATAGTGCCAATATGTATGAGATGTCAGTACTTTACAAGGAAGGGCAGACTTTAAAACTCGTCGACTTTAAAAATATAAATTATATCTTTATTAGATTGAGAAGTAGTCTAATTAACGCTTAACTTTACAGAAAGCTAACTTGAATCTAAGAGACATTTTAACTATACCAAAATAATATAGAGAAGTCCAATGATTTCATGGACTTGTTCAATAATTAATCTGGTAAATTAAGCGAACGTTGGAAGCCGCTTGTAATCTTCCGGCTTCCGGCAATAAATCGATTCGGTAAGCACTTGTAACAAGTTAATTCTTCTCACTTTTCATTTTGGATTTGTTACTGAAAATGTGAAGTTCATTTTGAAATCTGTATATTGAGAGATAGTGTAGTATGTCAGCTGATATGATAGATTTTATTAATGTTGAATAATGTAGATTAAGTTAGAAGTTCGTATATGAAGCTAGTTTCTTGGTGTGTCCATTGGCTAAAAGTAAATTGGACTCTTAAATTGACAATGTTTACAGATACATATCTGTACAAGTAAACTAAAGCTGTACACATGTACAGCTTTAGTTTTTACACTGCATCGTACTAATAAGAATTTAGAAGTAAGGTTAACACCTCTCAGACCATGATGACCGACGATGGTGGAGAATTGCCATTCAACACCTTTTTAAATTTTAAAAAGTATAAAGTGTTACTCACATATTGCCAGGGTCATCAGCGAGCGGTTCCTCGACGAAGGGCACGTGTTTAGTACGGCGACTCTTGGGCCGGAACTCCAGCTTGTTGGCGCAGCCCTTGTTCGCCTTCGTTCGCGCCTCAAAGATCACATGAGGGTGCTTCTGCTGGAACGAATCGTAAAAACGGGTACTCATTAGAGGTGTTCTTTTTCAATACATTTAGTAGTTTGTTAGTAGTGTGTTTTGATAAGAAAGACTTCAATAATACAATGTTAGGATTGTGAATTTTTTTACCAAGTACTGTAGTTGGTTGCTAGTGTTTGGCCCAACGAAATAAGTTTGTTGAGCAGATTATTATTTCTTTCATTATATAATTATAAAATCCGCAGTAATTTTTCAGTTACTTAAGTAAGACATTAAATATAGGAATCTAATGAAAATTTAATAATAGACACGTCACTTATTCAAATAATTTTTAATGAAAATATGTTTTCTTTTTTGCAAAGTGCAAATTTCAAAAACAGTATGACCGATTCAGAAAATTAATATTATTTTCAGCCTTCACAAATAAGAATCCTTTTCCTTAATTATCGAGGTCTAAGAAAAAGACCAAAAAAGGGTCTTATGAATTTCCATGAAATAGCGACAAAGAAATAGAAGAAACGTTATCTTTTAGGAGATAAGTGGGAGTAATATCTAGCTAATAAGCATTACGTTTTCCCGGCCAGTGGCACGGAAACATTCTGCGCTTACGTAACGAAAATTTCGGGACATTTTTCCCCTAAAATTAGTTTCATTAATCACATTTCAGATGTCTGACGGTTCAACGCTCACTAATTTAAAATGAATTACAGTTGATTCATGCAAAAACAGTGGAAACTTTCCAATTCTCGGATTCGTGAGAGTTTCGTTACGCGGAATTTCCTTGTTAGGCTAAATAGTGTTACAACTTATTGACTCAGTTTGGAATTTAATTTGACTACTTTTATTTGAATGGGTAATGAACCGAATTTAGCATAAGTTTTATCATTGTCTCATGGTTATCATAGTCTTATAGTTGGAAGTTAGTTGAAAGAGATAGATTAGTTTAGAAGAAAGGTATACCTATATATATATATATGTAAGTTAAACCTATATAAGTTATATAAGGTATTGTATACTTCCATTGATATTTAACACAACATTGAACAATGACCGTAACTACAAACAAATCTTCTTAATGAACATCAAAGAACCTTCTACTTGACTTCAAAAACACAATTTAACAACTAATTTGTACGAAACCTTTTAACAATTATAGTTAAAAACGAAAAATGTGATAAAATGATTGGAATTCAGCGTGAAATGAGCTCGGGCATCCCCTATTGACAATTTGGCAATCAACTTTTGGCGAGATTAACTTCGTTTACAATTGAAAGGAACGATGTAAGTCTGACGGGTTCCAATGATTAAAGGTCCCGTCAGATAAAAAGGGGGTCAAGCTAATCGAGACTAATCAGGCAGGAGTCAAAAGCGTCATTTTAGGGCTCGTGACACGAGAGTTGATGGCGATTGGTTCTTTGTTTCAATGATGTGTGGTAATATGATGCTTTATTCTTGAAATTGTAGTTTTGTAGTTTAGGTAAATATGAGCGATTTATTATATAGAGGTAATTAAATAAAAACAAACTTAAATATAGAATTACTGTTATGAAATATAATTAAAAATCTACTTCCAAGTCATTTCTCTTTGTACAAAAAAAGACTACTAGATTTACTTAGCCGCTAAAAACCCTTTCCTACCACTTCACCACAAAACGGTAATCTAATTCTACCATCAATACCTTACGTAGAACTACTGAATGCCGTATTGATGGACTGGCCAAGTGGCCCAAGACACGTTGTGGGGCTTAATGATCTAATAAAATACGACTGGCCCATCGGACGTGAGGAGAGAGCCAAGTGTACCGTGGATATAGGGAGACAGGACTTGGCTACTGGCTGACACTTACCCGAACTTGGCAAATGGCACGCTCATTTAAATGAAGGTTGATGATGTGATGGAAATATCTATTTCGTATTGTTTATCATAATTTTGACTTTAATAGTTTAGTAATTGTAATATTTTAATAGTTAGTTTTAATCAGTTCATCGGTTTAGTAGTTAGTTAATCTTACTCAGAAATTATAATGTCACCGTGAACTTTGTAAAACTTTGTCATAATCTCAAGATATTGAAATTGGCCATGGAATGGGCATTCATAATAAAAATAGAAATCTATCTGACATGGGGTTTTTTGAACCCGTGTTCATACTCATTTGCACTTTCAAATAACCATGCAGTCTTGCAAGTCTGAAAGTACCTATGTAGCCAACTTTATTTACCGTATATATCACTTCCAGTTGTTATATTCTTTGTAGCACAGTTATAGTTGGAAACAAGCAACACCGTTGATCGATGAAGCCGCCCAGCCAATATTGATGATGGCCAGGTACTCCGGCGATTTGCCAGCATCTATTAATCTTAACATTTATTTTTATTTCATTTATGGCCATATAGTTTAATAGGAATTTATGTAAATGGATTTATAGCTAATTAAATGGAAACATGGAGACTGCTTCGTGGGCAGAGTAGTCGCACGGGTGCCTGCTAGGCAAGGGGTCTCGGGTTCGATTCCCGGGTCGGGAAAAGTATTACTGGATTTTGTTTTTTTTAGTTTGAGAAATTTGGAAATAAAAAGCTTAATCTTATTTACTCCTTCATAATCAGATACAGGATTCTGTTTCACGCATTCGTTTATTAGACTTTGATAAACAGTTGTGCACAAATAGTTGAAGGTCTTTACATTGCGCCTTATGTTTTCAAATAGAGTAGGCAAAGAGTAAATAGTTAGTAAATAGGTAGTAAAAAAGTAAATCAAATTTTCAAAACTTCCAAAATTAACAGCGGATTAGTCAAATTATCAATTAGAAGGCAAAACTTCTAATGACAGCTATCGAAAATAACTTCAGTTAAAACCTAGATTATGTCATTAATCCAGATTCAGAACTTAAATAATTTTTAAAACACGCACTAAATATGAAGCACAAGTTTTAAAAATAAAGTTTCAAATACCTACTTAACTCGTCGAGTACCGGTTTTGTAGACACAATTTATAGAACAATAGGTTGCGGTCACCGGTGACCGCTTGGTGTTTGACAGTTTAATATTCTTAGATTTGTTATTTGGTAAGATCTTTTGGTTTTGGTTTTTCCCTTTGGGCCACAAATAATGCGTAAACTGGAGTAAAAACAATGAAACTCTTAGTAGCAGGAGGTTCAGCCGTGAGAAATATCCAATTTAGGTGCGTTTGCCCTGTAAATTGACGTCATTTTTCATTTAGACCGGTCGCAATGTTGTGTAGAGGCGGCGGCGGCGCGCGAGACGGCCGCCCCTACTGAAATATTAAACAAATAATAATAGTAATGTTTTATAAAATAGTGTAGTTTTTTTACAGAAATTCTACTAGCACTCTCATTGGAATTAAAAAGGGTGTTTTTTAATTCATCTCCGTGATTTTGGCATCTGTGCCTGAATATCACAAATTCAAGTCATTTTACAAAAATATGTTAAACCCTGATCTTAGTTGCAATGACACTGCATTATACTTGTCTATCTTATTAATTACCTATTAAATTATGCTTTCATACTAATTTTACATAACATGGAGGTATATCGGTATTTTAATTTGCATAAAATCATTTCACCAATTATTTTTCACTTCTAATTCTAAAACCCAATACACAGCGATCGCGATTCGGCGCTAAATTCATTTTACACCTGCCAACCCGACCAAATGGAAGTGTCTCAATTGCTGTAAACCTAAGCTATTCTCGTTACCTATTGTATTTGGTAGTGTTATACGTTTTATTTATTACTGTGGAACCGATGGGAATTTATTAGTAATGTGGAATTAATAGGAAATGATATACAGAGAGAAAAAGGGGTTCAATTTCGACTAAAAAGGTTTTCGTGGAATTGACTAGGTAGGTACTGTTTTTTGTTCAATATAATCGGGTTTATTGGTTTCGATTGAAATTTGCGGCTTATACTGAGTTATTTAGTAAATGAGGATTATATAGGAATTTAGGCTTTTGTAATGTTCCGGTTAACTGAGAATTTGAAATATTTTGTTGGATCTCTTTTGTGCCAATTTTTTTTTATTTTTATTTAAAAAACGTTGCCCCACAAAGAAATTTCTCCTGTGTCGTGGGTGTTACAAACATACAAGTTCACATACACAATGACACCTAGACCCGAAACAACAATTTGTGGATCACACAAAGTGTTGTTCCGTGTGGAAATCGAACCCGCGACACGTTACACGGCTGCCGGTTGCCCAGACACCGCACCAACCGTGCCAAATTTATGCCAATGATCCATTCGCATCAAATCCACAGTGACCAAATAGTAAACTCTTCCATAAGCTGCTTCTTCGTCGATTGGAATTAGAACTGCACAAATAGACATAAAGAAATTTGACATTGCTACAATGAATTTATAAAAAAACATATAAGTATAAAAACTGAACTCTGTCTAGCACAACATAAAACAACTTATTCCATATTTTTTATCATTATACAGATTCCTAAACCTTTTCGTTATTGAATTTTAGTTTCTTTCTTTCAGAAGTACGGTAATATATTTTGTAAATGTTTTTGTTAGTTGATCATAAATATCTATCTTGAGAAATGAAATATGGCGCTGTAGGCCACAGATATTGTAGAAAAATAGTGTCTAGGTTTTGTGTTACAAGACTAGGCCTTACAAATGTTACCTAATTTAGAAGACGTAAAGTAAACGTCTGTGCCTTACGTACAGACAAGGGTTAGCGCTGTTTTTATTGTTATTCATATTATTTTTTGGTTTAATATTTTCCCATTTTTATCGACTTCAAAAAAAGGAGGAGGTACTATGTTCGGCTGATTGTTTTTTTTTATATTAGTATTTAAAGTAAAACTTTTTCAATGAAATATTTACATAGATATAAATCCATAGACCCATTTCGGCCATTTTTAAGTTCTAAATTTAACCAGTTTATTTTTAAATTAAAGAGTAACCTTTTTGATGCAAGAACCGACGCCGAGATATCTCAGTAGTGAATTAGACCAAATTGAATGGCATCACTATTTGCAAATAGTTGA